ATAAGCTGCCTGTCCGTGAACTTTTTGAAGAGTCCTCATGGTCACAGGTTCAGGGAGTCAGGATGTGGACATCTTTGGGAGGTCATAACTTAGCCCACTGTTAGGTCATCGTTAAAGTCATGACATATTTTTACATAGAAAACAAATGAAAAACATGTCACTTCTTTTCTAACGACCCCGTAGGAATACCTGCCCTTCTCTGCTGTTCAGCTGAGAGATCTGAGAAGCCCCTGCCTCCGGGCCCCACAGCCCTGGGTCACAGTCACTGGCTGGCTTTGCAGAGACTCTAAGCTAGGTGCTGGCACCCCTCATGTCACGAACGCCTGGACCCTGCATCCTTCCGGCGGCCCTCAGGTCGTCATCACCGGCCCTGACGTCTCTCCCTGGAGCGCCAGCTTCTACAGCCACCAGCCACCCGGGTCACCGCAGCTCTCGCTCCACCCCACCCCCTCTCGGCCTCCTTGCTCCTCAGAACACTCTTCCTTCAGCCAGAGCTCACACCCAAGACCCAGGAGACCCCCCATTCCTCTGTTCCCCCGTCAGCCCTGACAGTCACCGCATCCCCCCCAAGGAGGCCACAACAGCGTCTGCCAAACGGGCCTCCCGGCTTGCACTCCTGGCCCTGGCCCAGCTGGTCCTCCATAAGCAGCTGGCAGAATGGCCCCCTGGACCAGGGCACGCCCTCGCCCAGCCCCCCAGGGGCTTCCTCACTTGGGAAGACTCGGCCTCCCAGGTCCGACCCTTCGCCCTTGCTCACGCCCTCTCCCTGAGCTCAGCCACGCTGGTCCTCCTCTTGTTCCAACAGGACCCATGCATTTGTACCTCGGGGCCTTTGCACGTGCTGCTCCTTCTGCTTGGAACGCCCCTCTGCTGCTCCACATGACTCCGTGGTGTCACCTCCTCAGAGAGGCCGCCCCGACCTCCGTGTCTGAAGCTGGCCCTCCTCTCCCTCCCCCACCCCCGACCTCCGACTCTGAAGCTGGCCCTCCTCTCCCTCCCTCTGCCTTGGCTTAGTCTTCAGGGCCGGCCTGCCAGGTTGCTCACTCACATCTGCCTTCCCAGCAGAATGTCAACTCCAGGAAGACAGAGGCTTTGTCTGCTGTCGCCAGGTGCCCAGTGCCTGGCACACAGCAATGCTCCCCAAATGCATCCTGGGTGCTATGGATTGAATTGTGCCCCCCCCTTCATATGCTGCATTCTGAACCCCAGGTGCATCAGAACGAGACCTCCTTTGGAAATAGGGGGCTCGTCCTAGTCATGTTGCTAAGGAAATACCTAAGACTGGGTGATGGCCAGTAAAAGGAAATAGAGATTCACCCAGCTTAGGGTTTGGAGGTTTGAGACCCAGGGCCGACTTCTGGGGAGGCTACAGCATAATGGAGACGGGGCTTGAGCAGAGCGGCTGCCCATAAAATTCCACCTGTTCTGGCCCTGTGTCCCTCTTACGGTCCCGCCAGAACTCAGTCGCAGGGGCCCACTCTAATGACTTACCACACCCTGGCGTCCCAGGGTGGGGCTAACTGTTCACTCAGCACTTTTGCGATAAGGCCAAGGCCCCACACGAGAACGGGGCCACGATATACGGCAGCGGCTGTGAACGCCAATAGTTAGGATGAGGTCGCCTGTAGAAGGTGGTCCCGTCCAGAAGGACTGTGTCCTTACAAAAGGAGGAAATTAGGGCATGGTGGAACACAGCGGGGGGCACCACATGAAGGTCGAAGTTCTGCTGCCTCAAGCCCAGGCACTCCCAGAAGCTCAGAGAAAGGCCCAGAACTGTCTTCCCCAGCACCTACAGAGGAGGGGGGCCTGGCCGGGTCTTGATCTCAGAAGCCAGCCCCCAGGGCCCCGAGGGCAGACACGCCTGCTCTACGCCTTCCCAAATGTGGGACTTTGTCATAGCAGCCTGGGCACACCAGCCTCACACACCGGCCTGAGCACGCCAGCCTGGGCACGCCAGCCTCACACACCAGCTTGGACACACCAACCTCAGCACACACCAGCCTGAGCACTCCAACCTCGGCACACTAACCTGAGCACACTAACCTGCTGAGTGAGTGAGTAAGCAAATTACTCAGCTGGTCTCGGACCCCAGTCCAATCAACTCCAACCCTATGCGCACTGCATGCCAGAGTGCGACCTGTCAGTCATCTGCTTGTCAAGAACATGTTAGGGGCTCCTCCATCCACAAAAGAAAACTCAGCACCATAGCACAGCAAGTGAAGACCCCACTGAATGTTCTAGACTCACCCCTCCTGCCGTTCCATCGCGCCCTGCTCGTCTCTGCCAGACTACCCGACTCTTCACCATGTGTCAGGGCCTTTAAATCACTGTCCTTCCTGCCTAGAATGTACTCTTCCCCAAATCCTTCCCGAATTCTCATATACATCCTTCAACACCTGGCTCAAGACCTCCTCTGCAAAGCCTTCCCCACACTCTCCGCTCCCTCAGTGTCCTGACTTCCCACTGTGCTCCCGAAGGCCCCAGCCGGGCCTCTGAGGCCATGATCAATAGTTCAGGGGCTGCACGAGTCCAGCTCTGTCTTGGTCAGTAGGCAACAAGCTCTTACAAAGGACAGAAGCCTGTCTGTCTCATCACTGCTCAGTGTGGGCCAAAGAGGGTGGTCACTGGGGGGTCACTGACAAGTGACAGACAAAGCACAAGAGGACTCCGTTTTACTGCTCAATCTGACGTTCACTCAGTCATTCACCAAACACTGAGGGCACTTCGAGTGAGCACGAGACGCTCACTAGTTGCAGCCCCAGCCAGCGGCAGCCCAGGCCTGGTCTTCGTCTCAGCCTCTGCCCTCCCGAGGGCCCCGTGTCTGTTACCTCAGACCCTTCCTCGAGCTTCATCTCGCAACTTCGAAATGAGAAAGCAAAGCAGAGCAGGCCAGCCCTATCGCCTACTGGGTAATGAAGCTGGATCCCACATGGCCAACCACAGTTCAAGTCCTGGCCCTGGTGGTTTGAAAACCATGCCGGGCACCTGCGTATGCCCCAAATCCAGGCTGGATGGAGAAAGGAGGGATTGTAGCACGACTATGCCCCACTGGGGATGCTTTCTCTGTCTCTCTCTGATGAGCACACACACACACACACACACACCCTCGGGCAATTTAACAACAACAACAAAATAGCTAAGAAGCTGTATTTTCCAAGGACATTTTCTTCTGTCCACACCACTGCCCACACCACACACACACTCTAACAACAGAAAAAGCCGCCACACAGGACAACATGGTGCCTAGGGCACAGGGATGCTCAGTCATTTTTTCCTTGTAAAGGGCAGAGAACAACAGACCTGCACAGTGCCCCCACGGCCCTGACAGATGTCCCAGTTAGCCAGTTAAGAGCTTCTCCATCTCAAAGGCCCCCAGGTCTCACTGATGGGAAAGACTGGGTGCTTGGGGCCCCATTTGTCCCGACTGCCCATCTTCATCTCCCAGGGCAGATGGGAGGGTACAGTCACCACCGTTGCTCCGCAGCACTTAGGGCAGAAGTTGGGGTCCCAGTCCCTTCTGTTCCGCTGGACTCTCAGTCACCCGTGGTGGCCAGAGGGTATGGCATGCCAACCTCGGGCTCCAGGTGGCTAACCCGTCATTACCTGAGCTCCCACCTCTCCTGGGCAGGTGATGCCCAAACACCTGGGCCATCTTCCAGGAGCAGCAGAGACAGATAAAGCTTTGGGCACCAGGGAGAAGCAGGAAGCTGGTGCTTCCAGAGGCCCCAGAGGCCCTGGCCACACCCCAGCAGCAGGCTGGCTCACTGGCCAGCCTCTCTCAGGTGCCCTGGCTTCCACGCCACACCCAGAACGTGCCAGGCCATGACCAGGCGTTGACCCCCAGCTTAGCAGCATCCTGCAGTGTGACCCATTTTCCTGCCCAAACACGGAGGGAAGAGATCACGCGTGAAGAACCAGGCACGCGTGCACAACCATTTCCGGGACTGTTATCCCAGGAAGAGCCAAGACCCACCACCTCCCATGGTCCTCACCGCAGCCCACTGCACAGATGTGCAAAACCATGTGGGGAGGGGAATGGACCAGCCAAAGCCTCCCAACTTTCCAAGGGGTGGAGGTGAGACTTGAACCCCAAGCCAAGCCATCAGTCCTTATACTCTGCAGGTTCCCCAAGTCCCTGCTCAGCGCTAAAGGGTTTTATGCAGCCATTACCATCTGCCCCTTGCAGGATGCCTGACCCACAAGCTGGAAGGGCAGGTGGGTTGATGTGGGAGTCTAGAGACCTGGCTTCCAAACCCAGGCCCACCATAATTCCTGACAGCTCCTTCTCTGTCTGGCCTCAGTTTCCCCACCTGCCCCATCCCAGGGTCTGGTGTGACTCAGAGGGTCTTTGGCGCTCTTTGTGCCCAGAAAGAACTCTGGATTAGGGGTTGCTCATTTGCCTTCCCTGATCCCTTAAATCATGAGCCTCCCTGGAGGCAACCTCCCCATGTGAGTTCTAACCCCAAAGTCCAGGGATGGAGCAGACGTCTAGGCTTCCACTGGGACAGGAGAATTGGCCACCCGCACAACCCCTAAGTCAAATTACAGGGCTGTGGGGGTCAAGAGTGGGGAGGCCTTTGACAGCCAGGTCCGCGGGTGGGTGGTGCAGTGAGCTTCAGAGTCGGGGACTACCTAATAAAGAGGGGGTGATCCGTAGCCCTGGAGCCTCCCTGTCCCCGCTTCCCTCGAGGGCGCCTACCTTGCGCTGTCAGGCAGCACCCTAGGGAGGCCACCTGAGTCGGATAGGGCGGGGGTGGGGGGCCTCGGAGCCAAGCGGGTTCTCCTCGCCTGGGCGTCCAGGGGCACAGCCACGCGAGTCCCCAGGCCCCAGCATCCGTCTGGACTCAGTGTTCTGGGCGATCGCAACACCGTGGCGACCGCGCTGGGGCACCCAGTCTCGCAACGACCCCAGTCCTGCGAGTGCACATGCGCCCCGGCTGCGACCCGCCCACTGCGCCCCTTCCCCGCACTCCCTTCCCGTTTCCCTCAATACCACTGACCATAGTGACTGGAGCCGCCGGGCCAGGTCCCGCCCCGGCGAGGAGCGATCCGGTGCGGGAAGGTCCCACGCGAGGCGCAGGCGGGCTCCGCCGTGGGTCGGGCGGCGGGGGCCTCGAGGGCGTGGGGGCGCGCGGAGAATACACCCGACCGCTCCGCAAACCAAGGGTTAGACCTCTACTGTGTCCCAGCAAGACACACGCCCCGCGATTGACGTCGGAAGCGAGCAATCAGGAGCCTGGACACAGGACGTCACAGAAAGTGGGTGGGACTTACACACCCCTTCAGCCTATGTTTTGGGGCCCATTTGACAGGATCCAGCCCCCTTTTAAAGACACGGAAAGCTTTTTAACTAGCAAAAGAGTTAGCCCAACCTGGAAAGACAGGTCCTGGTCTGTTAAGGCTGAAGGACTTTGAAGCAAGATGGCACATTGAAGTCTTTTGAAAGGTTAACTGGCCCGCATTCACTCGTGAAGAGGTCACCTGGGTACAATTTGCTCAAGATCAGAGGACAGCCACTTAGGAAACACGTGCCCAATAGCACCAGGTTACCCTCCTGACCCAGTGTAGCTTCTAAATAATATTTCAGCGCCTTCCAACTCATGAATCAGTGAATTGACACGCACCCAATTAATGTTTGTTGAATGAATGAGTTTCCAGGTTCCTTGAGTCTGCAAATGGCTCTGAAATTGTAGGGCTAAGTCTGAGGCGGAGACGGTGAAGCAGGTCTGGTGACTCACTCTGCGTGCAAGCTCCTTATTACCAAACATCAAACACAGGAACAGGTATCATTGGAAGATTCCTTTCCCAGCTCTTGACCCCGGGAGGAGTCGTTTGGGGTGGGCGAAGGAGGGTTTTTAGGGAAGGCGCCGGTGCATCACGCATGGTTTTGCAGGCACTCTGACTTCCTGTATTAAGCATTCCCCTTCCCACTCTACCCTTGCTCTTCCTGCCCCAGCACCAGGCTAGGCTCTTGGGCAGACCAATGTCTGTCTAGTCCAGGGCTGTATCATGTACAGGATGGGAGTGTGGGTCACCTGAGACTCCAGGAACAGTGAAGGCAGCAGCTGACCGCAGTGACAGTCATACAGAGCACTCACCATGTGCTGGCACTACAGAAGACGCAGCACGTAGTGTCGCGGGGTATGTACTGGCATTCTTACCCCTATTTTACAGACAAGGAAACCAAGGCACAGAGACATTAAGTTACTTGCCAAAATCCACACAGCACACAGTGAGATTTGTCCAGTCCCAGGCAGTCTGCCTGCAGAGCGGGTTTGAAATTCACTCTGCGGAGGCAAGACACAGGGGCTGTGTTTTGCCATGTCCCTGCTTGCTTGTCAAGGGTTCCTGCTCCTTGATTTTTACAGCCAAGGAAGCCACACAGGTGACCGGAGGGACCTAGAAGGGTAGGATCCCCAGGTTTCTGCCTCCTCATCCAGTCTCAGCTTCCTTCCACGGAGGAACGGCTGGGTCACGTGCAGCACCATGGGAATGGGAGAAGTGCACAGGTGAGGAGACTTCCGAGGCTTCTAGGAGCCCTGGAGCTGGGCCACACTAAGCCCTAGCCCTTTGCCCACCCTCCTTCCCTCCCCCGGCAACGCCAGTGCCCAACCAAGCCAGTGCCCGTGCTGATGTCAGGAACCCTAGGCTTCTGGCTCTGGGCTCGGCTACTCACTGCTGTGTGGCCTCAGGCAGTTCCCAGGCCCTCTCTGAGCCTCTGGTTCCTCACTCGCCGAGCAAGTTAGACAATCTGGGTGGTTAAAAAATAGCTATTTAGTAGCGATGCCTTTAAGCCCAGAGGAAAACGTAATCTTACCCAGAATCTCGGTTTATGTGTAGTGGAATCTTCCTGCAACTGCAGCTCAACCAAGCAGGGAAAAGAATTCATCTCTTTGGTCTGGAACTAATCGGGCTTCCTCCTGCCACCTCTACAGACTGCTTAAAAAGGGGGAAAGTTTGAAAGGGTCTTGTTTGTTTCCACACTGGGTCTGAGCTGGAAATGTCGATAGTGCCTGTAGGAGCCGCCGCCTGGCAGGGATAAACACGCTCCCCCAGGATGAGCTGGCTCCCACCTTCTGGCCCCTTTCTCCTGGCGCCTGTCTGGGTGGAGGGCCTCAGCAAGGGCTGCCAGGGCCTCTCAGGGGTGGAATGAGCCTCAGGCATCTCGTCCTCCAGTGGAGCGTCTGGGCGCTGGGGGTCCTGGCTCTGGGGAAGGGCTCTACTGCCCGTGGGGCTTATGGGCTGGCCTTTCCCAGGCTACTCAGAACAGGATAGCTCTCCGAGGTGGACCCCACTTCTCTCAGTACAGTGGGTCTCTGGCCCACCTTTCTCATTCTTTCTCCCCTTGAGTCCCTCGTTTCCTCCACACTTGAGCCTAAGTAAGAGGGTGGCTTCGTGTGCCCATGATTGTCTGCCCTTTGCTCCTTCTAGAATGCTCTTTTCACAGACTCAACTTGCCAGTTCCCACCTATCCTTCAAACTCTGACTCCTCCTCCATGAAGCTTTCCTGGATGACCCAGGCACGATTTCTCCAAATGTCCACACCATATCGGTCCTCCTTTGGTGCTGGCCCCTGGCTACTGAGATTTAAAGGAGCAGTGGGATATGGTAATTCTGGGTCCAGGCAGTGGTGTTAGGTATGTTTGTGACACAGTTCGCAGGGCATCAATCCTTGGGCGACTCATGCCACTCTGAGCCTTGGTCTTCTTGTCTGTAGAGTGGGAGTCTCTATTCCTAACTCAAAGACTAAATGAGGTGGCCATGAAACCACTTGACACTGTACTGGGTAGCTAGTAAGTACCCAATAGATGTGGGTTTAGTGGCCTAAGAATTGTTCGGCCGGCATTGCTAAGCTTATAGGAACAGGTAATGATGAGGCCTGAAGCTTGTGGACTTGCGGTGCCTGCTGCAGATTTGCATGTGGCAGGGAGGCACCCACGGGAGTAGTGTCTGGGTGGCTCAAAGCCGTCATCTGCCGTCTCCCCAGATGGAGGAGGTGAAGCTATGCCGGAGGGTTCCAGGTGGCCATGCCCGGGGCGGCAGGAGCTGCAGTAGTGCAGACCCGTCTTCCTGGTGCCCTTTGCACTGTGCAGTTTCAGCACTTCCTGCACCCGTGAGCTGCAGGTGGGGTGCCCTGGAGGAGAAGCAGGACCCCAGGGGGAAAGCGCTCCCCCTCTGCCATGGTGCAGGCTCAGCGTGCACCTCGAGTGTGCCCTGCGGTAGCCACGCATCCTCCTGCAAGCGTGGGCCGGAAGACTTGCCCGAGATACAAGTCCGGGTGTTGCTGCGCTGCTGTGGGAGAGCAGAAGCAGCAGAGCCAGACATGGTCCCCTTCACCTCCTCCAGCTGGCCTCCCCAGAGGCAGAGTGGCAGGCCAGCCCTGGGGTCATTGGCTGCCCAGACTCCCACCACCGGGGGCAAAGTTGAGAAAGATTCAGCTTTGGTTTTTGAGAAAAGATCTTTCCGTGATGGACTTGGGGATTAGAGAATTGGAGAGGTGGATCTGGGTCAATAGGGAGAACTTTCCGGAATGAGAATGGATGGAAACCGTGTCCCAGAACACAGGAGACTCGAGGGGCCTGCAGACGGCATAATGGTTACATCGTTGGAATCCCACATAGTCTTCCGCAGCTTAAAGCTCACACCAGGCGCATATGCATGCAAGGGAGATTGGAGGAGGAGGGATTGCAGCGAGGCCATCCCCCCTGGGGGGTGACTTCTCACTTTCTGTCTCTCTGTCTCCCTAGTGAGTACACGTGCCCTATAGCAAAAATCTCTCTATATAAAAAAGGGGCATGGGGGGCTCCTTGCACACCACCTGTTGGTCCCGGAGAGGAAAGGACTGGAAAGCCAGCAGGAACTCAAGCCCCTGGCCTGGAGAAGACCCCATTGTCCCCTCCCTTCAAGGCACCACATATGTGTAGGCCAGGGGAGTACGAAAGGCTGGAGCTGTCCCCTGGCCTCACCAAGGACTCACCACACACTGGCCACGTGACAAGCACGAGTGTGCACATCGCTGGCCAAGGCTGGCACAACCACTGCCCTGCTTCAGCTTCCTCCGGTGGGAAGTAACCGCCGAATATTCCTCCCTGAAGAGGTTGCCAGGACCACAAGACCACAGTGGAATGGGGCGAGGGAGGATGGGGAGCGAGGATGGGGAGGGAGTCCCCCACCCCAACCTGTGAGATTTAATTTTCCACCAGTCCAGGGAGGTGAGACGTTTATCTTAGTGGGAAGACACACAATGATGGTGGTATTTCTCATACCCTCACAGAAGACCCCAGAGGGCTGGGCCCTTGAAAAGCTACTCTGGCTTTTCATATATGAGGCAAAAACATCTAGAAGAGAAATGATGGTGCCGGGCCAAGGCGGCCTGTCAGAGCTCCCTTTGCAGCTCTATAGCAGGAGGGTAACATGCTGATTTTCCAGGCAGCTGCCCATCTGTGGCCCCCCCCCAGAACCCTGGTTCTGAAAGCAAATGTTTCCTGAGTTCAGACTCAAGTGCTTGTACCCTGGGAAGCCTTCTGGGCTGGGCAGGACACCATCTCTGGCTGCTGGGAGACCCTCAGCTAATAGTTGGCAAAGAACCGAGGCCCTCTGTGGAATAGCCTGTGAGGCAACTCCCTGGCCAGCAGCCATGTGGGTGAGGTTGGAAGCCGATTCTCCCCCTGATGAGCCTGCAGATGAGACCCCAACCCGGGCCAACAGCATATGTGAAACTTGTGGAAAGATGCTGAGACAGAGGGCCCGGCTAGGCCACGCCTGGATTCTTGACCCACAGAGATAATCAATGTTCATTGTTTTGCTGAGTGGGGGGATATTTTGTTAGGCAGCACTGGATGACAAATACATCCTGTCTTCTCTTCCACGAGGCGGGGTCACTGACACGTGCGTCTCCAGGCAACCGTGAACACAGCTCTGCCTCGCATCCCCCAGCTCCCAGCCAGGGCGGAGTGGCTGTTCTACAGCGCGCTCCTCATGGCTGGACTTGTTGCACAAATCGAGGTCTAATTGCAAGCGACAGGAGGAAGACAACAGGGATCCTGGCCCGGGGACAAAGGGAAGGCTTCTTGGAGGAAGTGAGTGTGGAGCTGAAGTTCGAAGGAGGAGTCGGAGGGGGTTTCATCTGTCCTCCTCTTCTCTGTCCCCCCCAGCACGTCACCCTGGGGGGTAATTTCTCACTTTCTCT